TTTTAAAAGCCTTCTTTAAATTAAGGTCTGTTTAAGCATCAGCTATGTTTCAAAGGCTTACATTAATCTTCAAACTCTTACGCAAAGGAAGACATCGACTGTTCTGAGAATGATAAGGAAATGACTTGTTTATGATTAGAAAACACACATCAGGTGTTTCAGTGTTTTGAGTGAGGAAAATGTCAGAAACGTATCTTTTGGGTACTTTTTCATTTTCTAACATATGTATGATTTTTTTTTCTTCTTTGATATTTGGTAGGGCATTTGGAATGTCAAAAATATACCATAGTCCAATCTGACCCTCAATTAATTTTTAAAAATCTTTGGAAATAAGCCTGATAACCAAAGATCACCACCGGAGCCAACATTTGAATATACCGTGGACAGAAGACTCAGATATTCTTGGGGAACACATGGAGTGATAATGTGAAATTTTAAATAAATGTCTAAAAATATGTCTCAACCTTTTCAGGTGGGAACATTTGTTTGCAACAGAGATGATTGCTCACCTAGAATCTAGCACCTGCAGACCCATCCACAAAACCTGCTGGGGATCAGGGCCCCAGCGATTCATGTTTACAATAACTGCTGTAAAGCATCTAGGAAACCAACTGCACATTTTCCATACAGTGAGATGCATTTAGATCGATGCCTCCTAGATTTTGTCAGAGCTTTCTATATTTCAGACACTTTAGTAGAAAGAGCAACACTAAGTCAGGTTTTGTTTTTGTTTCTTTCTGCGGTGCGCGGGCCTCTCACTGTTGTGGCCTCTCCCGTTGCGGAGCACAGGCTCCGGACGCGCAGGCTCAGCGGCCATGGCTCACGGGCCCAGCCGCTCCGCGGCATGTGGGATCTTCCCGGACCGGGGCACGAACCCGTGTGCCCTGCATCGGCAGGCGGACTCTCAACCAGTGCGCCACCAGGGAAGCCCCCTAAGTCAGGTTTTGTATGAGATCAGTTAACTGGGTATTGATCTCACCAGGTTAATTTTTTTCTTTCTTTTTTTTTTTCTTTTCTTTTTTTGCCATGCCACGTGGCATGCGGGATCTTACTTCCCCGTGCCCCCTGCAGTGAAAGCACGGAGTCTTAACCACTGGATCGCCAGGAAAGTCCCAGTTTAATTTTTTTCAGGAAGTGTTGGTAGAAGAATTTTGGCCACTTGTGTCATCCAGCTTATTTTAAAGTTATGTGTGTAACAGAAATAAAGTTTGACAGACTGGTTAAATTTCTGAGACCGAAACGAGACCCATGTGAAAAGTGGAGAAGACTCAAGGAATTCAAAGGGAAGATGTCTAGAGATAAAAGATGAGATTATGAAAAGAAGGGCACCAGAGTACTTTCTTGCCATGGTTATTAGCAAGCGTGGGGGCAAAATAGAGCTGGGATTTGACAGTGCAGGTATTTGCTTCCCATACCAGGCAGTACTGGGGACCTCTTTGTGGGCTGTAGGAACCTGCAAGAGGTCTGGCTTTCTGTGCATCCAGAGAAATTGCTTTGGAGAAGCATTGCCACAAACCATGTGGACTTCCATTTCTAAGCTCCCTTCCTTGTTGAGAATCCAAGGCTAAGCATCTCACAGGTGTCCAGGGCCAGTCCCGAGAGGCCATCCGTTTTCTCTAACTTTCTTTTAGGACCGGTGAAGGGGGGAGGCACGTGTGTGTTTTGAGTTTGAAGGGCTATCCAGCTTGTATTTAAAACAGAGTTTTGGTGCAAGCACCAAAAGTTTTCTCTAACAAAACTTTTGCTCTTATTGTATCTTACTTGCATTTTTCATTCTCAACCCCTTGACAAAATTCACTTTTGTCTTTAGGATATAATTTATGGGCTATTGCTTTGGCTTGGCTTGTGTGTGTATACATAAGTACATGTATGCATATATATGTAGATGGATGGATAGATAGATGAATAGATGCGTGATTGGATGGATGGACGGACGGATGGATGGATGGATGGATGGGTTGATGGATGGATGATTCAATGGATGGATGATAGATAGTGAGAGAGAGAGATTGTATTTTCCTCTTTTCTCATAGTGGATTTGTTATCATCCACAATACAACCCTTGGAGGAATCTCAAAGCCCAAGTTTTCCACACTATAGAGTCAGAATGTTTGAATACACATTCCCATCATAGAATGCCTCTCCATGAACTCTTACAGAGAAATCTTGCCTCACAGTTTTAAACAGTGTCTCTTTTCAGTTTGTCTAGCCCTATTTAAAATACACACTTTTGGTGCAGGCACCAAATGTTTTCTTTAACAAAACCTTCGCTGTCACTGTATTTACTTCCATTTCCCACTCTCAGTCCTTTGGTGAAATTAACTTTTTTCTTTAGATCATAATTTATGGGCCGTTGCTCTGGCTTGTTTGTGTGTGTTCATAAATACGGTTGACCCTTGAATATCACAACATGGGGGGTTAGGGGTGCCAACCATCTGTGCAGTCAGAAATCCACGTATAATGTGTAGTTGGCTCTCTGTATCCTCAGTTCCACATCCATGGAGTCAACAAATTGCAAATTATGTAGTACTGTCGTATTTACTATTGAAAATAATCTGCATATAAGTGGATTTGCAAAGTTGAAACCCACTTTGTTCAAGGGTCAACTGAACATTTATGCACATATATATAGATTGATAGTTGGATGAATAAATGATTGTACGGATGGGTAGGTGGAAGGATTGATGATTGAATGGATGGATGGATGCATAGAAAGATTGATGATTGGATGGATGGATAGATGGATAATAAGATGGATGGATTTTTGGATAGACGGATGGATGAATAAATGATTGTATGGCTGGATAGATGGAAGGATTGAGGATTGGATGGAAGGATGGATCGTGAGCAAGAGAGATAGACAATTTGATTTTTCTTTTTTCTCACAGTGGATTTGTTATATAGCATTACGACCATTACGACCCTTGGAGGAATCTGAAATCCCAAGTTTTCCACTTTGTAGAGTCAGAATGTTTGAATACATATTTCCATCATAGAATGCCTCTCCACGTAATCTTATAGAGAAACCTGGCTTCACAGTTTTAAATGGTGTCTCTTTTCAGTTTGTCTAGCCACTTGCTACTCCACGGCATGAGTTTTATGATCACTCAGGAGCAGGGTAGAAAGAGACCCCGCCCCAGATCTATAGAATCAGAATCTGCATTTCATCAGTGATCTGGGTGCGCATTACGTTTGAGAGGCACTGTTACCTTGTGTGTAAGTCAGCTCTAGGTCACAAACATGCAGGAGTAGTCACCCAGCATTTCGAGAAAATATTAGGTGAAATAAAAGACAACCTAAGGCCAAAGTCACAGAACCAAGGTGTGTCCTGGTGGGAGTTGATAGTCAACTAAATCAGTCTAACACTCTACGAAGCTGAATGCATTATATAATTCTTCAGGATGAGAGGATGGCTCGTGAGGTCTGCCGGCCTTGAATATTTATCCTGTCTGGCTTTATGTCTGTCGTTTATTATGTATGCCTCAATCTTCTCACTGAAATATGGTGGTGTGTTTGGATGTCTGCCTCTCGGGCTGCAGGTGGGAGATTTTTGAGTATGGAAACCGCATTTGAGACTGCCTGCATGGGGAGCTATACAGTATACTGAATTGAAATAAATGCCACATTTTATTTAGTGGTTGTTTAAAAAAAAAAAAAAGCAAAAGCCCGCAGCTGATGTCTTCTGAATCCCTCCATGCTCCGTGAAAACCGCAGCGTCACACACAGCTTACCTGAAAGGCTATTAACGCTGAGGTGTCAGCTGCGACACCTGGGTCTCTGCCTTTAGCTGGCAAGCTGTGCATCTGCCCAGGAACTTGGCGTACAATTGCACTTGGAAAGCTGTTTCCAAATCGAGTCAAGAATACTGTGAAACAAGCGACCACATTCGGTCGCTCCGTTTTCTGTATCAGACACTTGATACTTCCCTTTCCATGGGAATCCACAGTATGATTCTATAGAGACTAAATTGTATCGACATTGAAACATACAAACATATTTTGAAAATTTATAAAGCAGGAGAAAATGAAGATCTGTACCCACCCCTGTCATTGTAGCTATAACTACATGGCAGGGGCTGGCATCCGTCTCTGACATGCTTCGTTCATAATTCTTATTATTCAAGGTGACAGCAAGTTCATTTCCTTAGTACTATCTTGTCTGACTGTACTCCAGGGAGCTGAATTATGCTCCCCCACCCCCAACATGTCCATGCCCTAACATTTCAAACCTGTGAATATATCACTTTACATGGTCAAAGGGACTTTGCAGATGTGGTTATCTTGAGGATCTAGAGGTGGGGAGATGATGCCCGGCGATCCAGCTGGGCCCAAAGTCATCACGAGGGTCCTTTTGAAAGGGAGGCAGGGGGCTCCAGTCCTAGAGAAGATGTGAGGACTCACAAAGAAGTCAAAAAGGGAGATTCAAAGGTGCTGAGCTGCTGGATTTGAAAATGGATCAAGAAGCCAGAAGTGAAGAGAGGCATATCACTTACGTGTGGAATCTAAAAAAATGACAGAAACAAGCTCCTCTACAGAACAGGCATGTGGGATAAACAGACACACGCAACCATATATCAAAAAGATCAACAACAAGATCCTACTGTAGAGCACAGGGAACTCTATTCAATATCTTGTAACAACCTATAATAGAAAACAATCTGGAAAAAAACTGTGTATAGATATGTATATAAATACATATCTGCATCACTTTTCTGTACACCTGAAACTAACACAATATTATAAATCAACTCTGCTTCAATTGAAACAAAAAGATACAGAATTATTCCCTCACTACAAAGATCTACCTAGTGTTACCCTTTCACATTCTCAGGCTCCCACAATCTCCCACCTCTGACGACCATGCGTCTCTTCTTCATCTCCAAAACTTTGTCATTTCAAAAATGTCACAGCAGGGAAGCATACCAACTTCTTAATGTGTGAGGTAGAGCTTTTTCACTCAGTGGGTGACTCTTGTTTTTATTTTATGTTTCTTTTCGGAAGCGTGGTGCAGAAGTTAAACCCAGAGGACTCAAGGGGAGAGGGTCTGGACTGTGACACTTAGGAGAGAGAGTCACCCAGCTGTCTGACCCTTGAATTTCTTATCTATAAAATGGGGATAACGGTGTCATCACAGAATGGTACGAGGATTGAACGAAGTAATGCATGTCAGTCTCTGATTAGACTGTTGGTTACAAGGTAAGACGTCAATTAAAATGAGATGTTTTACTATGGAAAGCAGTGTGGAGGTTCCTCAAAAAACTAGAAATAGAACTACCATATGATCCAGCAATTCTGCTCCTGGGTAGTTATCTGAAAGAAACAAAATCACTATCTCAAAAAGACATCTAAAGCCCTGTGTTCATTGCAGCATTATCTACAATACCCAAGATACGGAAACAATCAAAGGATCCATCTGACAGATGAATGGATAAGGAATATGTGGTATATCTATACACTGAAATATTATTCTTCCATTAAGAAAAAGGACATCCTGCTATTTTCAACAACATGGATGGACCTTGAGGGCATTACATTTAGTGAAATAAGTCAGAAAAAGAAAAATACTTTATGATTTCAGTTATATGTGTAATGTATAAAACAAACCAGCAAACAAACAAAGAGAATCCACCTCATAGATATAGAGAACAGACGGGTGGTTGCCAGAGTTGGGGGGGGTAGGCAAAATCGGTGAAGGGGACCCAAGGGTACAAACTTCCAGTTATAAAATAAATAAGTCCTGGGGTGTAATGTACGGCATGGTGACTATAGTTAATGACACTGTTTATTATAATTTTTATTGGAGTATAGTTGCTTTGCAATGTTGTGTTACTTTCTACTGTACATCAAAGTGAATCAGCTATACATGTACACATATCCCCTCTTTTTTGGATTTCTTTCCCATTTAGGTCACCACAGAGCACTGAGTTCCCTGTGCTATTCAGTAGGTACTCATGAGTTATCTATTTTATACATAGTATCAATAGTGTATATATGTCAATCCCAATCTCCCAGTTCATCCCACCCCCTCCTTTTCCCCCCTTGGTGTACATACGATTGTTCTCTATGTCTGTGTCTCTATTTCTGTTTTGTAAGTAAGATCATCTTTACCATTTTTCTAGATTCCACGTATATGCGTTAATATACGATATTTGTTTTTCTCTTTCTGACTTACTTCACTCTGTATGACAGTCTCTAGGTCCATCCACATCTCTATAAATGACCCAGTTTTGTTCCTTTTAATGGCTGAGTAGTATTCCATTGTATATATATACCACATCTACTTTATCTGTTCCTCTGTTGGTGGACAGTTAGTTTGCTTCCATGTCCTGGCTGTTGTAAATAGTGCTGCAGTGAACATTGGGCTACCTGTGTCTTTTTGAATTATGGTTTTCTCTGGGTATATGCCCAGTAGTGGGATTGCTGGGTCATATGGTAGTTCTATTTTTAGTTTTTTGAGGAATCTCCATACTGTGCTCCATAGTGGCTGTATCAATTTACATTCCCGCCAACAGTGCGAGAGGGTTCCCTTTTCTCCACACCCTCTCCATCATTTATTGTTTGTGGATTTTTTAATGATGGTCATTATGACAGGTGTGAGGTGATACCTCATTGTAGTTTTGATTTGCATTTCTCTAATTAGTCATGTTGAGCATCTTTTCATGTGTTTGTTGGCCATCTGTATGTCTTCTTTGGAGAAATGTCTATTTAGGTCTTCCACCCATCTTTTGATTGGGTTGGTTTTTTTTTTTTGGTATTGAGCTGCATGAGCTGCTTCTATATTTTGGAGACTAATCCTTTGTCAGTAGCTTCATTTGCAAATATTTTCTCTCATTCTGAGAGTTGTCTTTTCATCTTGTTTATGGTTTCCTTTGCTGTGCAAAAGCTTTTAAGTTTCATTAGGTCCCATTTTTGTTTTTATTTTCATTAGTCTAGGAGGTGGGTCAAAAAAAGATCTTGCTGTGCTTTATGTCCTAGAGTGTTCTGCCTATGTTTTCCTCTAAGAGTTTTGTAGCTTTTGGCTTTAAATTTAGGTCTTTAATCCATTTGGAGTTTATTTTTGTGTATGGTGTTAGGGAGTGTTCTAATTTCATTCTTTTACATGTAGCTGTCCAGTTTTGCCAGCACCATTTATTGGAGAGGCTGTCTTTTCTCCATTGTATATTCTTGCCTCCTTTATCAAAGATACAGTCACCATATGTGCATGGCTTTATCTCTGGGCTTTCTATCCTTTTCTATTGGTCTGTATTTCTGGTTTTGTGCCATTACCATACTGTCTTGATTACTGTAGCTTTGTAGTATATTCTGAAGTCAGAGAGCTTGATTCCTCCAGCTCCGTTTTGCTTTCTCAAGATTGCTTTGGCTGTTTGGGGTCTTTTGTGTTTCCATACAAATTGTAAAATTTTCTGTTCTAGTTCTCTGAAAAATGCCCTGGGTGATTTGATAGAGATTGCATTTAATCTGTAGATTGCTTTGGGTAGTATAGTCATTTTTACAATATTGATTCTTCCAATCTGAGAACATGATATATCTCTCCATCTATTTGTATCATCTTTAATTTCTTTCATCAGCATCTTATAGTTTTCTGAGTACAGTTCTTTTGCCTCCATAGGCAGGTTTATTCCTAGGTATTTTATTCTTTTAGTTGCAATTGTAAATGGGATTTTCCCCTTAATTTCTCTTTCTGATCTTTTGTTGTTAGTGTATAGGAATGCAAGAGATTTCTCTAAATGTTTGATAGAATTCACCTGTGAAGCCATCTGGTCCTGGGCTTTTGTTTGTTGGGAGTATTTAAAATCACAGATTGAATCTCAGTACTTATAATTGGTCAGTTCATATATTCTGTTTCTTCCTGTTTCAGTCTTGGAAGGTTGTACTTTTCTAAGAACTTGTCCATTTTTTCCAGGTTGTCCATTTTATTGGCATATAGTTACTTATAGTCATCTCTTATCATCCTTTGTATTTCTGTGGTGTCAGTTGTAACTTTTCCTTTTTCATTTCTAATCTTATTGATTTGAGTCCTCTCCATTTTTTTCCTGATGAGTCTGGCTAAAGGTTTATCAATTTTGTTTATCTTCTCAAAGAACCAGCTTTTAGTTTCATTGATCTTTGCTATTGTTTTCTTCATTTCTATTTCATTTATTTCTGCTCTGATATTTATGATTTCTTTCCTTCTACTAACTTTGGGTTTTGTTTTTTTGTTGTTGTTCTTTTTCTTGTTGCTTTAGGTGTCAGTTTAGATTGTTTATTTGAGATTTTTGTTTCTTGAGGTGAGATTGAATTGCTATACATTTCCCTCTTAGAACTGCTTTTGCTGCATCCCATAGGTTTTGGGTCATTGTGTTTTCTTTTTTTTTAAATAAATTTATTTATTTATTTATGGCTGTGTTGGGTCTTTGCTGCTGTGTGCGGGCTTTCTCTAGTTGCAGCGAGGGGGGCCTACTCTTTGTTGTGGTGTGCGGCCTTCTCATTGCAGTGGCTTCTCTTTTTGCAGAGCATGGGCTCTAGGCACATGGGCTCTAGAGGGCAGGCTCAGTAGTTGTGGCACATGGGCTCAGTTGTTCCATGACATGTGGGATCTTCCCAGACCAGGGCTCGAACCCGTGTCCCCTGCATTGACAGGTGGATTCTTAACCACTGTGCTACCAGGGAAGGGCCCATCGTGTTTTCATTGTCATTTGTTTCTAGGTACTTTTTGATTTCCTCTTTGATTTCTTCAGTAATCTCTTGGTTATTTAGTAGCATATTGTTTAGCCTCCATGTGTTTGTGTGTTTTACAGTTTTTTTTTCCTGTAATTGATTTCTAATCTTATATCATTGTGGCCAGAAAAGATGCTTGATATGATTTCAATTTTCTTAAAGTTACCAAGGCTTGATTTGTGACCCAAGATGTGACCTGTCTTGGAGAATGTTCTGTGTGCATTTGAGAAGTGTATTTTGCTGCTTTCAGATAGAATGTGCTAACAATATCAATTAAGTCTATCTGGTCTAACGTATCATTTAATGCTTCTGTTTCCTTATTAATTTTCTGTCTGGATGATCTGTCCATCAGTGTAAGTGGGAGCGACACTTTTTTATATTTAAAAGTTGCTAAGACAGTAAATCTTAAAAGTTCTCATCACTGGGAAAAACGATGTGCAGTGATTTATGTTAACGAAACACATTGTGATGATCATTTTGCTTCTCTACTTGGATCAGATCATGATGCTGTACACTTAAAGCTAATACAGCGTGGTATGTTAACTATATCTCAATAGATAGATAAATAAACTATTTCATGCGCACATGCTCTCTCAATAGATAGGTGATAGATCATAGATACATGATAGATGGGTAGGTAGAGAGATGGATGGATAGATAGAAGGACGGATAGATAGATACGTATATATGATCTTAAATATACATATTTCCTGTTGATTGATGCTTAATAATCTAGTTTGATTGAGTACATGGTAGGAGACTCAAACCATGTAATTTAACCCATTTTTCCGTTTGAGAAGGGAGGGTGTATGGTCAGCCCATTTGCGATGGCTGTTGTCATCTTTCTGTCCATCCCCTGCTTGACCAGACGCTGCTTCACTGACATCCTTTTAATGATAGGGCTTAATCTGTAACTGCCTCTGTGCTTGCCCCCTGCCCCAGCCGCTGGTTTCCTTGGTAACTGTTGAGCCAGCTTTCCAATCCCCCTGTAAATGGTAGCCTCCTTCCCCCCTGAGGAGCAAAGATTGTTTCCATGTCCTGTCCGTCATCTGCCACACACGGCCCGTTGTCACTCCAGGACCTTGCTTCAGATGCGTAAGGTCCACCATCTGTTAAACCACTGATGTCTCTGTTGCTGACCCCAGGCTCTTTCTTCCGTTTCCAGGCCAGGCAAGTATAGGGTTTGCAGGCATGCGGGGTGCAGCCTAACAGAAGTCAAATGGAATTAAAACCTCCATTGCTGTACAAAAGGTAAAAATGGCCAAGATTTTAGGTAGAGTCATACGGTGCCTTTCTAGTCAACTCCTAAACGTTCACATGTGTTTACTCTTGAGAACTTAGAGCACAGCATAGTATGTGTAGGAGAATCACGTCCTGTTTTTAAAAAACAACCTGCCTTTCTGTTCTGTCTCTGCTGTGTGTAGGACACAAAGCTGGCTGAGATTGTGTGACTTTTTTTTTCTCTCCTCATTATTTAACACCTTCTG